TTATTTCACAAAAACCGATTTATCTCAAAAACTACTATAAGGTAGTTTCCCCCCTTTCTATTGCAAAGGGCCCATATGGTCATAAAGCTTGACCAATAAATTATTAATCAAAACGTGTTAAATTATGGGAGCCTTTTTTTTAAGCCAAATTGCATAAATTTCTTAATGCAAATGAGAAACATATTTCTTATAATATTTAGTTATATTTTTTTTTTTTTAAAAAATAATAATAATAATAATAATAATAATAATAATATATTGGACATGGCCAAATTTTTCTTTTTTTCTTGCTTGACTTTGTATTTTGAAACGATTTCAAAAAAATTATACATTACTTTATGCAATAGCAACGCATAATTTTATATGGAAATTCGTACCGTAGCGTTTTCCATATACCCTTCGAATAAAATACAGTACTATTTATTTTAAAATCAATATCAGAATTCATCGTTTCTTTTTCAAATAAGTCGCAGTCAAATATCAAAAAAACGTAGTTTTCATTTCAAAAATTTTTTTTATTGCTGATCTTGTCTCTAGAGATACTCGGTTTCTTACCGCAACATGTATTCTTTGGGACATAATAAGAGTGGATACGAAATTATTCCTCCAGAACATCAGTTTTTCTCGAGTTGTCGGTCAAAAAATAATCCTATTATTTAATATCTTTTGTAAAATAAATTTTGTATAAGCGTAATCCTTAAAACTACAGAACTAAACAAACAAAATATTGCTAAGTCAAAGAAGTTTTATGACTAAAATTTTTTAAGAAATGTTTATTTTGTAAACCCTTTTAATGAAATTTATTTTCATATGAATAAAAAAATTAAATTTTCACACTATAGACTATAGATGAAAAAAGCACAAATAGCAAATACGAATAGCTTTGAGATATTTTTTTTTTTTATCTCAGGAATGATCAATGTCATTGCACCTCACCTTCATTGTTTCGATTCATTTATTTGAGATGATCACAAATTTGGTAAATGAATCATATGATTATGCAAAGTTGCTTTATATTTGTCGCACAAAATTTTTCTTAATTTTTTTATATTGAAAAAAAAAGGTATATTTATTTTAAAATTGAATTGCAGATAAGTTCAATAGCATCCTATGCTCGACAAATCACAAGCATCCCCGAAATAATCAACCCACAATGTGTTATACCCGGTAAAAATTCCTAGAAATAACACGAGAATTGCCACTATAAAACCAGACGTGCAAAACCAAACATGTAGCCACCCATTCCCTGACATGATTAAATCACTTTCTCCTTTTATATGCCAAAAATAAGCCAAAGCACTATTAAATGACCAGATGACACAGATTAATGTTACATATTTGCTGCGACAATAATATCCAACTGGGGGTGTAAAGTAGACGATTATTACTGTCACCCAAGGATAAACTATTGATAATAAAGCAGTTATCGTAACGGTCACACGTTTTTTAAATGGAAATTTATTTGTAGGATTTTCATCCACAATAATTTGTATATTTTTAAAAACCAATTTAGGATCTATAACTACTTGAACCCCGTATTTTCCTCTTTTCCAAATTACGGGTATAGTCCAGGAAAATAATAATGGTAAATATGCCCATTCTTCACAAAAGATTTTTCCATACATCATGGAAACTCCTTCTATTACACCAAATATTATGTAATATGATGTAATAAATAAAGAAATTCTTTCTAGTACGGGTAAATTTGCTGTGCATCGTTTTACGTATTTATTTATACGCTCATTTTGCTCTTTATCATCTTTATTCAGTTTCATTGCATAAAATCCAAAAGGTCTATATTTTAGATAATGGGTACCATTGTCATTTGAATCTTCGTTGTTTTTTAGCTTAAAATAATTTGATGAAAGCCAGTATAAACAGCAAGATACTTTTTCACCTCCTATGAGGGAGTGTAACAGTCCATCAAAGGGACACCCAAAGCATCGAAAGAACCACATTGTCTTTTCGTAGAAATCATAGGGCGAATCTCCCATAATTGCAATGGCCGAGAGACTACCTACAACGTATTTAGGTAAAAATTGTAAAAATTCTAAGTATCCCATTAGATATTATAAAAGATATTAATGCAATGGTGTGAGCGTTGCCGAATTTTTTTTAAAAAAAATTTCGTTTTAATAAAGATAGAATAACAATGAACTTATAATGATCATTAAATAGTGATTCATTATCACACAAACACAAACACAACAAAAAAAAAAATAAAATTGATTTGAAAATAGAAAAGTGGCGTAAATTGGTAAAAGAAAAAAGAAAAAAATAGAAAGAAAAAAAAAACTAAAATTGTGAATATTTTTCAAACCATAAAAATTTTCTGGCGTAAAAGATAAAAATATAAAGGATATCAATAATAAATAAAAACTTTGCTGAAAATAAAAAAAAAGATTTTTTTTTAATCTCCTTATTTACATTTCCTTAAAAAAAAATAATGTTAGTATTTTTACATTATTATTTCTAACTGTATTAAAGGAATAAAATTAAAAATAAATTAAATCGAAAAATTTAATATACTATATATAATAAAGGAGGATCTGTATCACGGTAAAAAAAAAAAAATTTAGTGTGTTTTATTAGAGAACCGTTGTGATTTCTGGGCTTTTGAGCGACAAAAAAAAATTTCCCTTTTCTCAAATAAATCTCCTTTTAGGCGATTCGTGTAACGCCAACGACCGGTCATTATTATATACCTTATTTTACCTTGTACTAACACTAACACTGACACTAACACTAACACTAACACTACATGTAATGAAAAATATAATTAATGAAAAGTAGACTAAATAATACATATGATAAAAGTTCGATACATGTTATGACTCAAGTGTTACATGTGTCATAGGTGTAACATGTGTTACATGATATTCGCCGCAGTGTGAGATCATCTGAGGCGCAGTAAGATTTGCGAGCGACTAACACGATAACACCAGCTTATGCATTGTCACCAATAGGCCATACATACATTACTTTGTCGATCGTTTTAAGGTGCAACCAATTATTACATTGATAATTTTTGCACGTTTATTTTTAAAAAAAAATTTTAACAATATATTAACTTTATGTAATAATTATAATATGTGAATCTATTTAATGTATTAATTTTTACAAACACGATATGTTCCTATCATAAATTATCCATGTTCTTGATTGTTCTTAAAAGGTTACTTGGTAGTTGATATTGTACTTTAGTGAGAATAAATAAAAGGTATTTAAAGGAATCAGATTAATAAAATTTATAACAATTGAATAATTAACGATGACGATATTATATTAAAGTAATATTATAAAAATTTTTAGAAGTGTCGAAAATTAATTTGAAGAATATATTTTTAGAATATTCTCTAACGAGTCTACCACGAAATCCCGACACACACAATCCCGATATGATAAAATCACGTTCCCAATATTGATGATATACTGAAAGACTAGAACCCGGAAGTCTCTAAGCAAACAAAATATTGCCAAGTAACATTCATTTATCGATCAATGAAGTTTATGTTACACTAACCTTATAAGAAACGTTTATTTTATAAACCCTTTTAAGCCATTCTCGTACACGCCCAAGAAAATAAAAATTCATTTTTTTTTTATTTTAATATTTGCACAGATTCACTTGAAAATTATTTTCATATAAATAATTAATATTTCACATCATGGCATATCTAGATGAAAAAGCAAAAACTAGCAAATGAGAATTCTCTTTGAGATATTTATTTAATATTATCCCAGAAATGATCAATGTCATTGTTTTTGTGGATTTAATGCACCTCACCTTCATTGTTTCGATTCATTTGTATGTGTTCCTATTTATAAATAAAGATGATCACAAAATTTGGTAAATGAATCATTTGATTATGCAACATTGCTTTGTATTGTCGCACAAGATTCTTAATATTTTTTTTATATTGATAAATAAAAAAAAATATTATTTATTTTAAAATTGCAGATAGGGACAATTATTATACATATAATATAAAATCTGCAGAATATAAAAAATACAAATTTACTTAAGGTGAGGTGGAAATGAAATAAGAGATTCCGATTGTAAAGTTCAATAGCATCCTATGCTCGACAAATCACAAGCATCCCCGAATAAATCAACCCACAATGTGTTATGCCCGGTAAAAATTCCTAGAAATAACACGAGAATTGTCACTATCAAACCACACATGGAAAACCATTTATGTAACTTCCTCATCCTTTTCCATTTCTCAACGAATTTCCTTATGCTTTTCCATTTCCCAGTTTTCACAGACACGATTAAATCACTTTCCTCAGACATTATCAAATCACTTTCTCCTTTTATATGGTAAATATAAGCCAAAGCACTGTTAAATGACTAGATGGAGCAGATTACTGTTACATATTTTCTGCGACAATAATATCCAACCGGGGGTGTAAAGTAGACGATAAGTACGGTCCCCCAAGGATAAACTATTGATAATAAAGCAGTTATCGTGACGGTCGCACATTTTCAAAATGGAAATTCGCCTATAGGATTGTCATCCACAATAATTTCTATATTTTTTTTAAAAACATCTTTAGGATCTTTAACTACTTGAATCCCGTAAATTCCTCTTTCCAAATTGAAATAAAGGTCCAGGAAAATAAAAAAGACAAATATGCACAATGCTTACAAACGACCGTTCCTTTTATCATGGAAAATCCTTCCTTTACACCAACTATTATGTAGTATGATGTAATCAATAAAGAAACTCTTTCTAGCATGGGTAATTTTGCTGTGCATTGTTTTACGTATTCCATTATATCTTTTTTATTTTTCAGTTTCATTGCATAAAATCCAAAAGGTCTGTATTTTGGATGACGGTCTGTTCCTTTGTCATTTGAGTCTTCGTTGTTTTTTAACTTAAAATAATTGGCTGAAAGCCAAAATAAACAGCAAGATTCTTTTTCACCTCCTACGTTGAGGGAGTGAAACAGCCCATCAAAGGGACACCCAAAGCATCGAAAGAACCACATTAACTTTTCGAAGAAATCTCCCATAATTGCAATGGCCGAGAGACTACTAACAATGTATTCAGGTGCAAAATCTAATAGTCCCATTAGATAGTATAAAAGATATTAATGCAATGGGGTGGTGAGTGTTTCCAAACTTTTCTAAAAAAAGTTTCGCTTTTAATAACAATGAACTTATAATGATCAAAAACATTAAATGGGAGCTCGTCAGTAAAAGAGGAGGAAATCTAAATTTTTCATTTTAGTTCCTAAACTAAACTAATTTTAAGCACTTGATTGTGATCAATCAATAAAAAAAATTTAGGCTTCCCTTATCTATTGACTAGCCCCCAAATAGTGATTCATTATCACACAAGCAAAACACAAACACAAAAAAAAAAAAATTAATAATTTAATATACTTTTTAGGCGATTCATGTAACGCCAACGACTGGCCATTATTATATAACACTAACACTAATACTAAAGGTAGAGGATAAGTTAGAGGAGGAATCTACCTCAAGGAATAAGGGATGTTTAAATTTTTTTTTTTTTTTGTTTAAAAAAAGAATTGATTTGCCGCAGCGGAACAGTCAGTTGCACTTCAAATGGATCCTTCAGCTAGGGATTGGAATCGATTCTAATCAAATCGAATAATAAATTTATTTTATTTTATTTTATTTTAAATAATTAAATTTTTTAAATTATTTTTTATTTTTTAAATTTTTCAGTTAATTATCTTTTTTATATCCACGAATTTATTTTTTTTATAATCGTGGGTTTTAAATTTTTTATTAACCATTATTGTTATTTATTTATTTACTAATTTTGGGTTCGATTATTCCATTTTCATTTTCGATGTTTCTAAAAATATTCTTTTGATAATGATCCTCTTTCGGCTTTGCCAATTTTTTTTTTTTTAAATTTAAATTTTAAATTTTTCATTTTTACTTTTGGGTTCTATCGCTGGTCACGGCTGATTTAATATTTTTTCTCTTAAGTTCATCTTTCGAGTTGGATCACTTCGGAAGGAAAAGGTAAGGATTTATTTGATCATTTTATTATATATTTTATTAGTTTCAATCGAATTGTGCAGCAATCAGATTATTTTATGGTATTTTTTTTTGTTCGCTTCAGTAGACAAAGGTTAAGTTCTTAGTTTTTCATTTTTTTTTTTTTGATAATAGTGGTGGAGGAGGATATAGTCGCACTTACTGTGCCACAAAAAAATGATTCCATTCCTAGCGGAGAGTACCAAGAAAACTGTCATCTTAAATAAAATACTTAGTCAAATGGTTTATTGAATAAATATTGGTTTTTGTACGGAATCTTAAAGCTTAAAAAATCCTGAATTAGTTTTGTATTTTTAACATCGAGATAGAACTATAACGTAATACTAAACCGTTATACTATATTTGATGTGAATTTTTTGAAAAAGTGATTTTATATTAACGTTAAGGAGACCTAATAATCTTTAATAAACGTATTGCATAAGTTCTTTGATTTTTTATATCTACAAAATAAAATATATTATAATTTATTTGACTTTTTAATTTTATTTATTTATTAATTTTATTGTAAATGTAATATATTTACTTATTTTCAGTTTTCGTAATATTGTATTTTTATTTTTTATTTTTCTATTTTTCTATTAATTTTTTAATTTTTTTATATTCGCGAAATATATTTTTTTTTAATTGTTTCTTTATAATGAGGTTTTAATATTTAAATTTTTTCTTAATTATTTTTCTAATTAAATTTAAAATTAATGCCTTATCTTAATTTATTTTTTTTATACCGTATTTTATTTTATTTTATTGATTTTTAATTCTACCCCCGCAATTTGAAATTTTTTTAAGTTTAATTTAATTTTAATCAAAACTAAGCAACAATTAAGATGCGATTGAAACTCAAAAAAAAAAAATTGAAAATTGAAATTTTTATAATAATTTCCTTCAGCCACGTGGAGGACGATAAAAGATGCTTCGTTAATGCGTTCATGCTAAACGATGGGACTACATGGGAAAGTATGTTGCATGGCATGGCAAACAAAAAAAAAAAAAGAAATTTTTTCATTTGCCCACATCCTGTTATTTTTTATAAATAAGCAATCTGATTTAATTCTTCCCCTGCTCTGTTACGTTGTTAAGCCTAAACACTACGTCGTTAGGATAACAAAGCTTATTTGCTAACAGGGAGTTTAAATGGTAAACTAT